CTTCATTAATAGGTCCCAATTGAGACACATTACAAGACTCATCAAGCACAGCTGAAATGATCTAAAGTGAATCACTTTCGAGAATAATATTGTGTAAACCCCATTTAACCACCAAACCAAGCCCTTCTCTAATAGCCAACACCTCAATTTGGATGGGGGATAAAACATCCTCAAAGACTCACGTAGCAGCGGCAATGCACCTCCCATTTGAGTGCCTGACAACAATCCCAACTCCACTAGTGCAAAGATCCTTGTTCCAGGCCCTATATCCATATTGACCTTAAGTCTACCGACGGAGGGCGCGACCACGCATGAGAGGCAGCTTGCAGATTAGTTGGAGTGGCAATCACCAGATTAGTTGTGCAATTAAATTAGGAATGAGATGCTACTCAAAACCCCAGAATTTGACGTTTATAGCAGTCCAAATTGCCAAAATGGTCATCAAAATGCAATCAAAATCTGGTTGTTTCAAAATCTGCGACATGTACAATGTCCAATCCTTAATGGAATAAAAGGAAAGGCCAGCCAGATACATTTTGCAAAATGGCAGTCAAGGAAAATATGCCAAGTAGACTTAGGAGCCGCACCACAAAACAAGCAGAGAGGATAAATTGGAATTTGCTTTTTACAAAGATCAACTCCCGAGGGAATGATATTTGAGAAGATTCTCCAAGCTATCATCTTAACTTTTGGTGAGACTCTAGCTCTCCAGAGCTTATCCTAGAGCTCAGTGAAGGTATAGCTTGAAGACGAAGGGAAGAGGTAAGGGAAGGGGGAAGAATCCACTTATAAGCAACATGGTATGCATTCTTGATTGTGAAGAAGCCTATTTGGTCATAATGCCAAATCAATCGATCAACCAAGTGATGTTTGCTCAATGGAAGTGTGTGAATCAGATCAACCTCCTCCGATGAGAGCAAGGACCGTAGTAAATCCAAGTCCCATTTAACCTCCATAGTAATGATATCACACACTAAAGAAAGATTGCATCCCTCCCGTTTAGGAGTAAAAATATAGAAAGTCGAAGCAAAAGGAATTGGAATTTGGAAACTCTATACCAAACGAAGCTAAATAGCCCCAAATCATATCAAATTCAAAAACTCCATGCTAGAGTTGGCAAATCAACTCATTGAATTGTTAATGGGTAATCATCAAAACCTATTTGGTTTGATTTCACCTTACACCATCATCGCCACTACCAATCTCACTTCTATATTATGACAATAATAAATTAAACTAGTTTTAACGGTTATCCATTAACAACCTAGTGAGTTATTTGTCACCTCTACTCCATACCAATAGGCAATTTTGCTTCCACTTTCCCGGATAGCCATTGCCTCTGTCCTCTCAAACCTAAACTACTCAGACAATTTGATGGCGGTGGCTATCTCCATACTCCATGTTGGATTGTTGGGGCAGGCGAAGTATCAGATTTTGCAATATTGAATTAACTTTAATTCAAAGAAAAGAAATATCTTTGCTTGGTGGTGGTGGTGATGCTTGCTCACCGCTTCATTAATTTTCATTACAAAATTGATTTAATCTATTTATACACGTATCTTAAAATTTAAACATATTTAATGGTAATAATGAACTCATAGAACTTTTCTTTGTAACCCTTAATTTAAAATCCTGGTTAAAATAGAAAGCAACCCGTGGTGACAATTACTCCCTCCATTTCCTACCAAAATAAAGAAATAAAAAATAATTTTATTCGTCGTCATCTTCTTTAAAAATTTCATTTTCTTCTCACCTAACAAAGAGGTAATTTAATTTTTGCCTATTAACAAGGTAATGTATTCATTATATATATCTATTAACAAGGTAATATAATCTCGTATGTAGCTATTAACAAGATAATTGAAGGGATGTATGTGTTCTTCATTTTTCACCTTTTGGCTAGGTAAATTATATATAACTCATACAAGTTTTTAGGGTAAATTACATAGTAACCCTTCAAGTTTGAGGTCTATTACAATCCCATACAACATCTTTAAAACATTTCACTTTCATACCTCAAGTACTATTTTATTTTAATATAATACATCCATTAGATTTTCCATCCATTAATCCGTTAAGCGTTGACGTGGTTGCCACATTTGTGCCACGTGGCTGCCAAATGTGTGCCAGGTGGCCAAAAAAAAAAATTTTAATTTTTTTTTTAAAACTTGAATTTTCTCTACAAAAAATAAAACCCATCCCATCTCCTCGCAACCCCCCCACCAAAAACAAACCCAGATCCTTTTTCCCCCACCCCCACCCACCCACCTCACAGAAACCTCATTCCTCTTCCTCACCTGCCTTCATCCTCCTCTCTTCTCCCTTATATTCATCTTCTTCCCCCTGCAACCCATCCCACCCCAGCCCCACCTTCCCTGAGCGCACTTGCACCCACCCTCCCTCCGCACCCACCCTCTTCCCTCCTCTACACACCCCACTCCTTAAATCCACACCCATTCCTCCCATTTTCACCTCACGAACCCGATGATGGCGGACGAGATCTAGGTTTTGTTTTTTGTTTTTTTTTTCTTCTAGGTTGCAGGTAGGGGTTGGGGGAAGAAGATGAAGATGGGGGAGGAGTAGGGGGGAAGACGAATGGAGAAGATGAAGATGGGGAAGAAGATGGGTGCGGTGGGGTGTGTAGAGGAGGGAAGAGGGTGGGTGCAGGGGGTGGGTGTGCTATGGGTGTGAGGGTGGGTGCAGAGGAGGACGTGGAGGATGGGTGCGGTGGGTTTGGAAAAGACGGGAGGGGGGAAGAAAGGGGTGGGTTGCAAGGAAAGGGGGACAGGGAAGATGAAGATGAGTTTTTTTTTTTTTTTTCCTCCTCTTCTTCTTTTGGGTTGCAGGTTGGGTTTTGAGGGGGGGAGGGAGGGAGGGAAGACGAAGTGGGTGCGAAGGAGGACATGGAGGATGGGTGTAGTGGATTTGGGAAAGACGGGAGGGGGGAAGAAAGGGGTGGGTTGAAAGGAAGGGGGGTTGGGGAAGATGAAGATGAGATTTTAATTTTTTTTTTTCTCTTCTTCTTCTGGGTTGCAGGTTGTAGGTTGGGTTTTGGGTTTTGGGGGGGGGGGGGGAGAGAGGGAGGGAGACAAAGTGGGTTTTGGTTTTTGGTTTTTTTTTTTTTTAATTTTATAATTTATTTAGAAGATTTAGGTTTTTAAAAAAAATTTTAAAAATTATTTTTTTAGCCATGTGGCACACATTTGGTAGTCACGTGGCACAAATATGGCAGCCATGTCATCATTTAACGGATTAATGGATGGAAAATCTAACGGATGTATTATATTGAAATAAAATAGTACTTGAGGTATGAAAGTGAAATGTTTTAAAGATGTTGTATGGGGTTGTAATAGATCTCAAACTTGAGGAGTTACTATGTAATTTACCCAAGTTTTTATGACAAGTTTTTATTTTATTTTATTTTTTTTTGTTTTGCTTTTTTGACAATGTGCATGTATTAAGTAGTAATATTGCTGCTATATATATGGATTGTGGAACATTATTATCAATTTGTTAGAGTTTAGTTTGAAGTTGAATGATGTGAATGTGAAGTTTGGAACCTCTATCCTTGTATATTGAAGTAGTTTAAAATAGAACATTGCAGTTGTAAAAAAAAAAAAAATGTGACACTAAAACCGGAAATCTACTGACGGGTAAAGTTCAAATGAACCTATGTAACACCATATTTAGGAAGATTGCCTCCAAATTAGTGCATCTCCAGTTGACAACAATGAAGTTGCTCTTAGGATGACGACTATGTTTTACAAAATCGTTATCAAATTAGAGTTTTAGGCATATATTAAACATTACACAATATACGAATCTGAGTCCGATGTCCATGCCTTTTTCTTTTAATACATGCAAGATCAAGTCACAAAGTAAATTTTGGTTTTTGGATGCTTCCAGGCTTTCCTATGTTATTGAATTTAGGCTTTCTAGTCAAAATGATCTATGAGATTAGCATAACTCTTTACTTTGGTCTCTGTGATTTGAAATTGATAGAAGTGGTCATTGAATTTGTTCACCATCAATCATTTTGGTAATTTCGTGAAAAATCTCCATTAAGTAAGGATAAAATGACAAAAAGACTCAATTTTTTGTCAAATCATTTTGGCATATTGTTTACTAAATTGAGCGTTTTATTTTTTATTTTTTTATTTTTTTTCGTTTTGGTTCTTGCTTAACATAATTTTTCAAGGAATGACCAAAATAATTGTTAGTGGACAATCTCAGGAACCACTCCTATTGATTTCAAATCTTAAGGACCAAAGTGAAGAGTTATTTTAATCTTAATTAGAGACCATTTTGATTAAAAAGTCTTGAATTTATCCTAATATTGGCAAGTCGATCCACACACACACAACATATTATGCTTTGGAAACATTGACCCAATTTTTTTTTTCACATTTTATATTCTCGTGCTGCCTAACTAGAGCAATTTCCATATTGAGTCTCAAATAGGACAACTCTCATACTGAGTGTGACATGGAATGGGCTGCCAATTAGATAGCTCCACTATCAGGTGAGATGGCAATTGAACTCATTGCCTTTGCAATTGAACCCAATTGCCCTTGCAATTGGGTTTCCACTTTAAGCATCTCCAATTGACATTGAGATACTGATGGAGATGCTTTTAGGATGACGACTATGTATTACATAATCACTACAACAAAAATGGGCTAAGAACACAATTAATTTGTGCCCTTCTCATTTTCATTGAGCACAAATAAATAATTGTGCTTTATAAGGTCCATTGAACACCCAAATATCTCAATTGTGCCCTCTAACAAAAAAGCACATTAGTTTGTGTCGTGTATTTGTGCCTACTAAAGTTTGAACACAAAATTTTATGTCTAGCATGCATGTGTCCTTTTAATGTCAGAGATAGATATTATTTTATTAATTTACAAACACACAATAAAAGGGTATTGTGCCCTCTAATTTAATATATTTAAATAAATATTATTTTTTTATCCTTTAGATTTACTTTTACTCTACTTTACGCCTCTCTCTCTTTCCACTCTCACTCAAACTCTCCTTGTCCTCAGCCACCTTCCTTTCCCCCGCCCGTATCCTCTTTCTCCCCTTCTTCTGCACGCAGCAGCACCGTCGTCCCCCGATCACCAACGATCGTCAAATTATACCTCCAAAATCCTTTTTCTGTCCTCCTTCCAACCCCCAAGTTAATTTCTATAAATTCATAGCCGGATTTCCTCAATTTCAGATCTAAGCAACGGTGACCGCATATTTTTTGGCCAGTTTTCGTCCAAGCCTGGCAGAATTGGACCTCGACCCTAGAGGTAAAGATGATCATCTCTCAGTGAGCTATCCTCTAGTGTAAGTTCTTTTCTAAAATAAAAACTTTCAGTTTTGGGATCCATTTTAGATTTTGAATTTTAATTCCCTTTTCTATATGCATGTCAAAGTTTACTCGCATATAATATTCTTGTTTTAAATTGGTCATTTAATTTTTAATGTTTATAGCTTATTGTAGTTTGTTTCATCAACTTTTCTGGCTTTTTTTATTTTATTTTAAGTTTTCTGTTTTGTTTCCCATGGGAAAGAAAGACTGGAAATATTCGATCAATATCAATCAAGCCAAAATGGTGAATTTAATTTAATTATTTAAATTCATTTCCATGTCGTATGATTACAGGATATTTCGTTGACTCAGGTGGTTTTCAACTTTTTCTTTCCTTTAATTTGAAATGGTAGTGAGATTAAGATACGATTACAGGATAATTACAGTGTTTTTCTTTTTTGTTATTTTATTTTCCAGTTAATGAAAGGTGCCAAAAACTCAGTTGGGTTCCCACAATGTAAGGTCCCATGAGGCAAAGGTTCATATGCAAGCATCCGGCTTGTGACAGATTTTAGGCATATTAAGGCAGTCTTATCAGATTTTAGTTATCCTAAACTGTAATCCAGTGTCACTCCGATGGATTGAGTTTTGTGATCTAGCTAAACTACCCATGATCAATCACATGAACAAATCATACAGGTAGTGCAGAAGTTGGTTTTCTTCTTCCATTCATTCCTTCATCTACAAAAGATTAATGTGTGAGTTCACTTTACAGAAATCTTCCACTCAGGTTTACATATTAAGGCAGTCTTATCAGATTTTAGGCAAAAGTGTGAGTCATCATGTGGTAGGTTTAGATAACTATTAGTACTATAATAAAACTCATCATTTAAGCAAGTGTAAAATTGTAATATCTGATTACTAAAAAAAGGGCATGATGCTAAAGGCCTTAGTTAATGAGAAATTTGTAAATGAAATTCATGAAGCGAGAGGAGAGATGTAGAAGATCATAGTAAGTAAAAAAAGTTATTGAAATGGTGTGAGACACATTCCATATGCCCCTTGAAAGATGCCTCTTTTGCATTATCCTTAAAGCCATTTTTTCATAAGCTAATTAAAAAAAAACAACTAATTGACAGGAAAAAACAACTATTACTCTAAAATCAAAGAAATGACACTTCTTTTGCTAAAAAATCAGTTGGGTTCCCACATTATAAGGTCCCATGGATTCAAGGAGGCAAAGCTTCATATGCATTATTGGCTGATTATGTTGGTTCTTGTCGGGATTGATCTCGATTTGAAATTGATAGAATCATTTCACCACTTTCTGCTTTTGTAGATTAATTTTGTATTTTTGTTATCCATGAGTTACTTTTACATGTTTAAAATATTTGTAGTTCTACATTTACGTGTAGTGTTTGTTGATTAAAGTTGATGAATTAGATCGATCGCTTTAATTTTTGGTACCATTCATGACTTTGTCAGTGAGAGCTCCAAATACTACACATATCATCCGGATTAGTTTGTTTGTGGAGCAAAGATTGGATGAGATGCAAAACTGGGGAATATAAGCAAGGTTAGATTTCAAAATACTTTTTTATTAGACTCTGCTTTGTAGATCCTCTAAGGTTTTTAGCATTTGCTATCTTTCTTAGAAATTAATGTCATAACATTGAGATTTATCTCACTGCATTTGACCTAAGCTAAATGATTGTCCAAACTTGTATTGTTTTGTACATCTTGTTTGCTAGTAATGATGGTTTAGCTGCTCATTTAAGTTGCATGTTTTGTTCGTTGTTATTTAATATAACAAAGTAGCAATGCATCAGTGCTTGTGAGTTCTCAATGCCGATTGAAAGTTTTGGTCCTTGAACATCACTGGAAATAGGTCCTTAACAATTTATTTTCATTTTCCCTTTGGTTTGGATTTCAGGAAGATGATTGCATTATCCACCAAGCTGGAAAAAAGAGGTGAAATCAGTTTTGCCTGGCTATATATAGAGATGCATGGATTGCTGAAGTTCTGTTGGATATATCAGTTTTGCCTGGCTGAAGTACACGTTTTTTTATGAGGAAATACTTGTATACTTTCATTAATGATATTCCACTTTTACTGTTTGGTTCATTCTAGCAGCTGAAGTCGTTGGTTTTCATTTTATGAAATTTTTTATCTTTCGTTTTGCTTAAATTTCAGTTTGTAGCCTGTTTCGATTTTTCAATTTTTTTAGGGTAAAAGACTGTTTACTACCCTCATGTTTCATGGTTTTCAACATTTAGTACATCAAATTTTTTTCGTCTCAGAGTCATACCTAAAGTGTAAATTTTGGGACAGTTTCATACATCCGTTAGTCAAACTGTTAATTCTCCCGTTAAGTGATGATGTGGCGCCCATGTGGACAATGACTGGGTGCCATGTGTCATTAAAAATATTAAATTATTATTATTATTAAAAAAAAAAAAACCCTATCTTCTTCCCCACCCCGACCCCCCCTCCTTTCTCTCTCCCTTCTCTTCTTTGCACCTACGCAACCCCCAACCTCTGCACCTTCCCCCACCCCCTATATTCCCCCACTGCACATCCAAATCAAGTAAATTAACCCGTCTTCCACCTCCCTTCCTTCTTCCCTCTGCAACATTCTCTTCGGCTCCCCCTTTTCTCTCCCCCATTTTTATCCCCACTTCTCCACAACCACCACCTCCTCCACCATTCCTCTCCTCACCACACCCTCTCTTCCTCCTCATTATCCTGCACCCCAACCCAACACCACCCCCTGTCCCTCTTCCCCGATCCCCCTCATTCCTCCCTCTTCACCTCTCTCTCCCAAGCACCCTCCCTCTTCACGTCTCTCTCCCAAGCACAGTCGATTGGAGGGTCCATCATCGAGTTTGGATCCGAGCTTCTCCATGTCCAGTGGGTGCTGAAGATTTCGTCCTCAGAGCCGCCCAGCTCCTTGAAGCTGCAGGACGGGCTTCGAACGGGTCCTAGAGCAGATCCAGGCCGTCGGGATCAGAAAATGGATCTCGGATTGGGTTCGACGGTGGTAGGAGGCGCTCGGAGTTGCGTCTGGCAACGGCTGCGCCATGTGTCTTGAGAGCTAGAGCTCAGATCCGGTTTCGGGTTGGCTGGATCTTGCATTTTGTCAAGTCCAATTTCGGGGTGGGGGAAGGTGCAGAGGTTGGGAGTTGGAGAGAGAAGAGAGGGGGGTCAGGGTGGGGAAGGACATATTTTTTTATTATATATATATATATATATAATTTTTATAATAATAATAATAATAATATTTTAATATTTTTAATGACACGTGGTGCCCAATTATTGTCCACATGGGCGCCACATCATCACTTAACGGAAGAATTAACAGTTTGACTAACGGATGTATGAAACTGTCCCAAAATTTACACTTTAAGTATGACTCTAGGACGAAAAAAAATTGATGTACTAAATGTTGAAAACCATGAAACATGAGGGTAGTAAACAGTCTTTTGCCCATTTTTTTAATACAGCTTATTAGGCACAATTTCAAAAAAGTGCCCGTCAGGTGGATGTTAGATTGTCTGACATACTGTAAGAATGTGCGCACAAAAAGATATTTATTTGTGCTGAACTGTTTGAGCACTAAAAGTCATATTGTGCCATTTCATCAATGGTGACGCCCATAGAGGGCACAGACAATATAATAGTAGCTGCACTGTTGCCATTGGTCTATGGGCACATATGTTGGTGCCCTTTGGCCTCAAAGGGCACAAATAATTTATTGTGTGCAATGCCCATTTTTGTTGTAGTGAATCATCGTCAAAGTAGGGTTTTAGGCATATATAAACCATTACACAAGATATAGACTGAATCTGATGTCCACGCTTTTTCTTTTAATACATGCAAGATCAAGTCCCACAAATTAAATTTTGGTTTTTGGACGCTTCAAGACTTTTCTATGTTATTGAAATGGGTAATGCTAGCGAGACAAAATTTATAAAAATTTTGAAAATTAAAGGACATGGAATTGTTGGTTGATGTATTACTTAAACGTTGATAAACGTGCTCATTTCCTACTGATGACATCATTTAGTTTACAAATTTTGTCTCTAAATTTAATCTTCCTAGCATTACCTCTATTGAATTTATCCTAATCCTAATATTAGCGCATCAATCCACACACAGAGCATATTCCACTTTGGAAACATTGACCCCCACATTTGATTTTTTTTTCCTTCACATTTTATACTCTCTTGCTGCCTGACTAGAGCAACTTCCATACTAAGTCTCATTTAGGACAACTCTCATATTGAGTAAGACATGAAATGAGTTGCCAATTAGGTAGTTCCCATATCAGGTGACTATTTGGTCGGGTTGACTCCACAAGTTCCGCCATAACAATAAAGAAAAGGGAAAACTAATGGAAACATCCTAGAAAACTTTCATTTAACCATAAGGACAAATAATTTCAAAAATGGCAAGGTTGCCCTAGAAAACCTTGTGACAGAAAAAGGCAAAAATATCCCAATCTCCAATATTCACATGGTCTTCATCAAAGCAAATACACTAAAAAAAAAAAAAAGACAAAGTCATGGGCTCCAAGAGACAAGCCATGCAACAAGTTGACGTGCATTTATCAAGACAAATCAAAAGGAGACAAACAAGTTCACATGCAAGGCAAAAGAAGACAAATAAGTCAGACCATGTTTCAGAAACAATGCTGACAATTCCAACAACAGTAGAAGCAAAGTGACAAATGACAAGTACCAAAGATACGTCTACACCATTCATTTGTAAAGATTTTTAATACCATAGTATTCTCATTTAGTGTATATAATAAGAGTTCCATTCATTGTAAACACACACCATATACTCACACCAGATACACACCATACTTCAATCCTCATACGTGCAAGCATCTGAAACCTTCCTAGCATCCTTTGTAAACATTTCTCTTTGTAAACATTCTATATATCAATAAAAGTTGAAGTGTACAGATTCAAGCAATCTCCAAGTATTAAGTAAGTTTTTTTTCTTTCTTTAGTGTGTTTGTTTAATTAGACTTCTAGTCCAAAACAGGGAAACACTATTGTAGTTATATTATTAACCTGGTAATTTGACGATCATACTTTGTTCGAGCACTTTATTATAGTTGAATGCTTACTCATCTTCAAGTTGCAATTCGTGGAAAACGTTAAACATTAAAACATCTTTTCAAAAGTTCCAACGAATCCCACCACAGAGTCTAAGCCATTTAGAATCAATTAGAAAAGAATTCATGAACTTTTTTTGGTGTAAAGTGAACCAACATAGTTAAAGAGACTCGACTAAAACCCTTACTTCTTGTCCTTTTTATTCCACACGTACTAACTTTACATATATATTTTTTTCCTCTTTTTTGAATTTTCTTTTTTTTTTTCTTTTTCACACATTTTTTTTTCCAGTAACAGTAGTGGTCGTGCAATGCCAGTTTACTTAAGCTTTAGATCCAACCCATGTAGCAAGCTTTAGGTCAATGACTCCCAAACCACAAAGGCTTTAGGGCACTAGGCGTAAAACACCCCTAAGGACTTATTTACTTGAGCTGAAAAGGCTACGAAACCAACTAACCACCCTGCCCTATGCCAAGACTTTACTGTTTGATGCGAGAATCACTGTTGATCAGGCAGGACTGACCCGATTACTAAGCAAAGTCTCAGGGGGAACAATTATTACTTTATAACACATACTAAACTTTACTTTACTAAGGACAAAAATTAAAATAAACTTAGACTAAAAGTAAGTGTTTCAATCTCACTCCCCACAAACCATGTTGATGTGAATGTGCAAATTTTCAAAGTATAACTCATGAATTAGTGTCTAAGCAACGATAAATAGAAAAAACTCTAGTGTGCGATTAAACTTCACCATGTTCATTTGTTCTAATGTTTAAATTAATCTATGGATATCAACTTAAATTTTGAAAAATTTTATTTGACTCAAAAATAAAAAATTTCTTATTTCCCACCCCCAATCTTAAATCACACATTGTCCTCAAGATGTGAAAATAAATGAAAATAAAATAGAGATGACTACTTACGACTAGAAATTCCTAAGTCACAAAAATAAATGAATCTAGACACATAAAAGAAAACTAAAATGAACTAAAAGATAAAATAGGCAAAGAAACAGCAAAAAATATAATAAAACAAATAAAATAGAAAAACAAGGAAAAGAACTCGAGACCTGGAAGCATAGAAGAGGCTCTCCTTGCATGCACACACGAAGCCACACGTGCAGCCTTCACGTGTGAAGTACCCTAGCATTCGCCTATTTGAGCTGAGTGATCAGCTCCCATTTCCTATTTCGATCCACAACTGCAAACTTTCCACCTCAAGCCCAGAGCCGAACGGCTCTCTATCTTGCCATATCTCTCCCATTTCTCTCATTTCTGATTGTGTTAAGAATCCCTACGCCACTCTCTCTAGAATATTAGAAATGTCTCATTTCTCTCTACCCTCTCTCACATCAACACAAACCCTTTGCTTCCATGGTGTGCACAAAGTTGCAAACGAAAGCGCAAACTCTAGACGGAAGATCAGTCCCAAAACAAACCCTAAGGTAAAAATCCCTCATGGCTGCTATTGAGTTCAGTTGGGTTTATTCTCTGTGCAAGGAACTTTGAGCTGACATCAGTACCATGGAAGAGACAACGGAATTGCTACAACATCTCAGATCCGGCGATGTACTGAAAAACAAAACAAGAAATGCTCAGATCCAAAGCCAAAGGTATAATTTCCGACTCCCTCTTCTTTGATCTGTTCTGGCATATGTTAGATAAGTGAATTTCTCTTTGCTTATGTATTGCTTTCCCATGTGCTTGCATGAAACGTGATGAATGATAAGTCAAAATGGTGTGCAAAAACTGAATCTGTATCTTGACTTGATGAATCGTGCTCTCTGTGCAACATGGATCCCTCCCCCAAACTTCAATGTAATTATATTTTGAATGAAGTGTGAGAGCGTGAGTGAGTGAAAGGGATCCATTAGCATAGAGGTCTTCTCAACATCCCCACTGTGAGTATGTCTAGAACTCTGCCCATACATCATTCTGCATTCCTTTGGTTTCTGTAGTGCTGATTCTCATTAATGTTGATGAAGTTACGATGAATGCTCTGAAATGAATGTATGTTGAATGCTGTTGAATACATGATTCAATAGAAGGCGCACATTTATTGGATATTTGGGGCCAATTGATTCTGAATTCAACCTGCCAAGAACACACATTAAAAATTTAATTAGAATAAATCCCAAAATAAAATACTAGTAAAAAAACAATTGTTGTTTTTGTGTTTTTCAATTTTCTGATATATATAATTTTTTTTTTGTTTGGATAATGAATAAAAGGAAGAAAATATAATCAATGACATAAAGAAGAAAAGAGTTAGAAAAATTGGGTTGCCTCCCAATTAGCACTTTAGTTAACGTCTATAGCTAGACGGATTTGAAATGAGCTAATGATCACGTTATTTGTTCCTTCAAAATTACCCACTCCTTAACAACATTAGACGTCAGCAATAGGTATGGAGTGATTTGAACTACGCATTTAAATTCAGTTGCTAAATCTTTCATCAAATGAGTCCTTGAAATCAAATAAGGTCCCTTCTAGCGAGGTTTACATCTCCGCCGAACTAACTTAAACCCTGTATTTAACACCTATAATTTCTGCACTGGACGAATTTCTTAACGAAGAATTCGGCTGTCACGAAGCTTTATCTTCTTTTCCTTGTAAATTCTAACCTTCTCGTAGGACTCCATATGAATTTCCTCATGTGTGATGGGTTGTGCACTCACAGATTGTTACAACATCTAAAATTTTCTCCTCAGAAACTGTCTCCCCTATATTCAAATTTGTTAGAATATTCAAGCATTCCTGCTGCATAGAGGGTTGCCTTGGATTCTTATTTAGTTTGTTATTTTCCTTTGAGAAAGCATAATCATATTTTCCATTGAGCACATTTACTAACAGGTGACCCGGGTTTGTTCCCCGACAACGGCGCCAATTTCTTGATAGGGATTTTTACCACTCGCAAAAGTAGGGATAAAAAACTTAAAAATACTTGCAAGAGTACAAGGTTATCATAGTATAGCAGCTCAAGCAAGGTCGTTCTTCATAGGGATTGAATGAATAATATGTATGTAAACTAATTCTTAGTTAATTATTTGAAAACAAAGATTGGAAAAGGTTGATTTTGAATTTAAAAATAATAAAAACGAATTTAATTAAAATGATTAAAGAAATTAGCAAAGTATAGAAAACAAAGAAAAACGTTTTGAAAACCAAATTGTAAAAGGCTTAGGGTTCTGTTGTCACCTTAACAATTCTACGTAGTTCTTCCAATTACTTATGAATTACCCATGCTTATTTGAAGGTTAGGTTTTCCTAAAGTATGTCCTACTTAGAACCTCCAACATAGAACGTATATCTAACATACAATCTGTCCATGACGTCCATATCAAATGTAAACATGCAAGACTCATTAAGTTTTGTGAAATCCTTTTGAAAAACCATATAACCATTAAGACGTGTCGTTCATCCTAAGAAGTTACACATATTAACTACAAGAAGCCAGCGCCAATTCCAAAGATAGCCTTCAGCCAAAATTGCATCAAATTACTTTTCTAAATATTGTAATGGTGGCCAATCATCAAGACAATTAGATAGTTTAAAGCACAATGATTAATAATTAAAAACTTGCATGCATAATATCATAAGCAAATTGAAAAGAAACTACATATTCTTGCTAAAGCTTGTGGCCTCGTCCTAGCAAATGAAACTAGTTACGAACAATCATAAAATAAAATATTATTAAGAACATAGATAGAAAACACCTTGAAAATAAACTTGAATTGTCAAAAGCAATTCTCCAAATAGTGCGTGGGTTCTCTTTCCTCCTTTTACCCTAGTGGCTAAATATCTTATTTATACTAATACAAAATAAAACCCTAAAAGGTCTTAGAATAAAACTAGAAAACATAATAAAATAATAAAACAGAAAATAAAAGGTTTTCCTATTTAAACTAAAATTCGGACTTCTCATAAATTTACACTTTTGACTGAACAAATCAACTCTGATTTGGTCCCAAAATGTCTTTTTATTTTAAAGCTGAAGACATCCCCTACAAATTCTTAGAAGGAATCTTCCTCAAAATATGCCATCTTGACCTCTAAAATACTCAAAACGTCCAGAAACGTCAATCTGGGAAAGCTATGCGCTGAGCTTTTATTTCATCTCCACGGTCAAACGGCTTGGTAGAAAAATATGGAATTTGGACACAATCATCTTGAAAGAATCATGAACATCCTCCAATTGGAATCACTCCAAAATTCATCCGTTTGGTTACTTTTTGCTTCAGAAGAAGTCGAATGTCTTACATTGAAAATACATAACAAAGTATCAAAATTCTACCAAAATAACCAATAAATTAATACTAAGAATAAGATAAAATATATGGTATATAATATAGATTCATCACTTACCATACAACTAACTGGACTTTAACCAAGGTATCTTTGAGTTCTTTGTACCTCTGAGTTCAGCCGTTAAGGCCTTATACTTGCATTGTGAGTGGTCGTCGTGCTGAAACATGTCGAGTTTCATGTGCAAGGTTTTATGTCTAGTTGTTATAATGATCATCCGACTATTTAACCGGGTCTTTGCTTTACGAATTTGGTATCAAAGACAAGTTTAGCATTTTAATAGTATAATTATAATAGTAAAGTATCTTGAGGACGGAAATCATTATCACAACTAATATCACACTTGTTTATTTTGAATGAACAACATATATTATTGTCCTTATAGACCTTGTCAACCACAATCACCAGGTACTTATTGTCTTATTGTCCTAGACACCCAACTATAACTAGCATAAAGAGAATATTAGCTTATTTATCCAAAAGAATTAGCAGGACTTTGAAGAAGCAAAAGTTTTATCATAGTTATCTTGAACATCCTTCATTTAGTAGTAAATATAAGGCTTATTATACAAAATAGTCCCTGAGATTTGCATGATCAGTAGAAATGGTTCTTGAGATTGAAAATTAATAGAAATGGTCTCTGAGATTGTCCACCATTCATGATTTTGGTCTTTTCGTTAAAAACTCTTTGGGCAATTTTCAAAGCTTCGTAACTCAATCGATTCTTAACCAAATTCGCCCATAATATATCAAAATGAATATAAGAAAGTGTAGAACAAGATTATACCTATTTGGAAGCCCAATGATTGCCGGAGATGGCCTGAAAATAGTCTGAAAGGTGACTGGTCCGTGAGAAAACTAGAAAACTCGCCGGAAACTGGGAAAAGTTTAAATGTTTATAACTTCTTCAATACTCAAGAAAATCAAGTGATTCAAAAATGAAAATCATACTTTTCGATGAGACGAAGAAAATGGCATCTTTCTTGACTACTAACTCGCCGTGGTTTGGCTGGAAAACTGCTCGAAAGTGGCTAACTCGAAAATGATTAGTCACTTTCCAGCCGTTGTCTGACCAAACCACGACGTGTTAGCCTTCGAAAAAGGTACCATTCTATTCGTCTCATCAAGAAGTATGATTTTCATTTTTGAATCACTCAATTTCGTTGAGTATTGAATAAGTTATGAACGTTTAAAGTTTACCCAGTTTCTGGCGAGTTTTCCAGTTTTCCCGCGGACCAGTCACCTTTCAGGCTATGTTCCGGCCATCTCTGGCAACCATTGGGCTTCCAAATAGGTACAACCTTATTCTACACTTTCATATCTTCATTTTGATATATTATGGGTCGAATTTGGTTACGAAACGATTGAGTTACAAAACTTTGAAAATTGCCCAAAGAGTTTTTAATGGAATGACCAAAATCATGGATGGTGGACAATCTCAGGGACCATTTCTATTGATTTTCAATCTCAGGGACCATTTTTATTGATCATGCAAATCTCAGGGATTATTTTGTATAATAACCCTAAATATAATAATACAGAAGTGCAACATAAAGTTTTAGAAGCAAAAAGAGCAACAGATCAAGTTTTAGAGACCTTAAGAGAAGAAAGAGAGTTTCTAAGAAACCAGTTAGCCGTAACTTTAGAGAAAGGTAGACTGTAGTTTATGATAGATTACCTTAATTTAGAAATTAGTTAACCTCAAGAAAGAAAAATAACCTTAGACCAAAATAGTTTAGTTTGTTATCTTCCATTGAGAAAGAATAATCATATTTTGCATAGTGAAGAAAATCCATAAGCCAATAGTATTGTAGATCTTATTATTAGTCAAGCAGAAAATATAAAATTAGAAAATAATAAGCATAATCATTTGTTAAACCAGTTGTTAGAGCATTTTTCAAAAAAATTCCATAAAAAAATTAGACAAAATTTGGATTATATTACATCTTAGTTAGAAGATAATAATAAAAATATTCAAGGGTTTCCTAACAAAAGAGAGATAAAAGAGCTTATTGACCTCATAGATAGTAAGCCTAAGCAAGTAGAACTCAGATCATTAGAAATATTGAGCAGTTAAAATTAGAAGTTCAAAAAATTAAATTAGTGCAAAAAGAGTTGAGTGAATAAGTAGATAAGCTGCATAATAAAATAGATAAATTATTAGTTTAATGACCGATTTTAGAACTAGCAGAAAAGATATCCAAGCTTTGAAAGAAATTAGTAAGTTAGATAAAGAACCAGTAGGTTTAATAGATTTTTCAACACAAGTAGCTAATAGTAATATTCCCATTAGGCAAAATAATTTAATTATTCAATTAGTTTTAAGTTTGGTTGAAAAATTAGATCAAGTTAAAAAACAAATAGCAGAAATAAATCAAGTTTTACATAACGCATCTTCATCACTTCCACTATCTTTGTTAGAAAAATTAGAAAATTTAACTTTAAGTACAAATAATCATATTAGAAGACCTAAGATAAATCCTTTTGATAACAGAAAATGGAACTCTTTAGGAGAAAAGGAAAATAAGTAGTTAGAGCTGAAGATATTTATCCAAATGAAGAAGAAACACAAGAATTTATTAGAAGAGCTTTTGAGAAAACACATAAAAATAAATACAATTTGTATCAATTAGGTTTATTTGAAAATAGAAGTAGAATTGTAAGTAGCATCAGTCAACACGAAGTTAGCTGTATTGATAAGGATGTTACACTTAATTTACTTAGTAAGGAAGTAGTTATGCATTTGAGAAAATCACATT